AGGAACGCGGGCGCAGATATGTACTCTGCTGCTGCGGGTATTTTAGACCGCGACTTCAACGTCCTTTCCTCGGGGAAGGCTGGTCCACACGAGAATTTATCTCTGGCTCGAGGTTCCGGTAGCGCAGGAACCGTTGCGTGTTTTTTAGTCGGAGTCACCAATGTAGGAATTGAGTACCGCAGGAGGTCAATTATCCCTCCGGGTGTCGGCCTATTACCGACGTATCAATGAGAGAAATCGAAGAATGATTACACACTCGATTATTAATATTAGAATAATACTTTATTGCAAGCCACACAACAGCCACGAGTCTCGATACAAATCTCACGGTCTTCGTAACTCAGTTCTGCCAACCTCGTAACTCTCAACCCCTCTAGCTAGCCTAGAGAGAAGGCTGACCAATCGGAAGGGAGACAGATATGCTGCTCCCTACATCGGGTTTCGTGGCGGCGTACGCTATATGCCGCGGTTTCCGCGACGGCGGAAAAGAATTCACGCCACTCAAGCACAGCTTGATTCAGTACTTGTGCGACCTAGAAAACTATACGGAGAAATACGTCGCGCAACAACAGGCTCTCCGTATAGAAGAAGTTATAACGCTGGATGCGAGGCGTCCGGAAAACGACTCAATATCGAACGCGATACGTCGGCATCGAATATTTGAGGCCGATATACTAACATTAGCAACGCGTATACTTTTCGACAACGGTGTCATATATAATACAAGCTACACAACTGAGCAAGACACGTCGATAGATACATGTTGGTCGACAGAGAACTATTGTACAATTTAGCCATGTGCACGTATGTTTGTTACGAGTTAATGACGTGGGTGCAGCCTATATTTGTCAATCAGACAATACATGCGGACTACCGCTTAACGTACACAGTACACGGAGCCGCTCGGGTTCACAATTATGACGTCACCCGACATATGATGCTGAACGGTACCGAGGGCAATTCCGTAGATCGCGGGCTCGTTTCGCTGAGGCCTACCCTTGATCTCGACACGTACGAATACCAACTGTACAGCACCAACGTCAAACTCACATAAAAAAATTAAACATCAATATTTAGTGATGCACGCCGTCGACGAGGCTGCATACAACAAGGACCGTTTAACGCCTACCGCGGACCAAGAAACACACGTAGAAATACATAATAGTGTCCTACGCGTTGTGGGCGTATACGCAACACATGAAGACAGATAACGACGACAAGAAAAAAGAAGGCGATGGCCGTAAAATTCTTCGACTGCGACACCGAGGCATTCACCCTCGATACATTCGTCGATCAATTAACAAAAAATAAGCCGAACGACAGACAATTGACGTGGGCGTCTAAAACTACGTTGAAAGCAGACGACATAGCGCGACAAATAGTGCAACCGATGCATTCGTCATTCGCGAAAATCGTCAGGATGACGATCCGCGTCGATAACGGAGACGCATTCATAACAAAAATTAGTGACTATATCAAACGTCACGTCCAACTATTCTCGACTGGTATAACGAAAGAGCGGGAACAACTTTACGGGTGGGCGAGAATCGTCGATTTCGAGGACGAGACGGCAAGATTGACCTACTACCAACTACAAAACGCAATATCCACCGCTCGTAGTGGGAAGAAGAAACGTCGAAGCGGTCGTCCTCGAAAGTCAAAATTAACACCGAGACTAGACGTGATTCAAGAAGAAACATCAGCACCGAGCGAGACGGAGAGATCGGCCTCGACGTCTCGTGTCGAGAGGCGCGTCGAGCGAAGACGAGGACGACGGCGCCGCAACCGCCACCACCGTCGTTCCATCGTCGTCGTCGCCGCCACCGCAATCGCCGCCACAGCCGTCCTCGAAGGAGGACACGACATCAGGGGTGGGAACGTCGGTAGGATCAACAACGCCAACGACGAGACTGGCGTTCGCACGACTGTCGTTGGGAACAAAACCTCCAACGCCCGTGATGAATGCTCCGTCGCTACCGTCGCCGCCGCCACAGCCAACGACGTTGAGGAGGTCGGCTAGATTGTCTGGACGTGAATCGTCAGCCGCCCAGACCGACGACAGCACGGCAAGTAATAAGAC